ACACTTTATCTGGAGCCCATGGTTTTCCACACTCGACCTAAAGAGTGGTTATTGGCAAGTGGGGATGGAATCGACAGACCGAGAGAAGACCGCGTTTTCTATAGGCTCTGGACTTTGGCACTTCACAGTAATGCCTTTCGGATTGTGTAATGCCCCCGCGACGTTTGAGAGACTTATGGAAGCAGTTCTAAGGGGACTAACGTGGCAGACATGTCTGGTAAATTTGGATGATTTAATTGTCGTAGGAAAAACTTTTGAAGAACACCTAAAGAACCTGAGAGAGGTGTTTGGACGATTACGAGAGGCCAATTTAAAACTAAGTCCCAAGAAATGCTTTATGTTCCAAAAAGAATAAGTTAAATATTTGGGGCACATCGTATCTCGTGATGGTGTTACAGCTGACCCAGAGAAGATTATAGCGATTCAAGAGTGGCCGATTCCTGAGAACAAGCACGAGATTCGAAGTTTCCTCGGTTTGTGCACCTATATAGACGATTCGTGAAAGGATTTGCCAACATTGCTAAACCATTAATAAAGTTGACAGAAGAGGGCAATGAGTACGAATGGAGTGAAGACTGTCAAAGAGCTTTCGAACACCTCCGGCAGGCTCTTACTAGCGCACCTATCCTTGGCTACCCCAGAAATGAAGGAAAGTTTGTGCTAGATACCGATGCCAGTAACACCGCCATTGGAGCTGTTCTCTCTCAATTGCAAGACGGACAGGAAAGAGTCATTGCCTATTTCAGCAAAGTACTGTCAAAACCCGAGAGGAATTATTGTGTGACTAGGCGAGAGCTCCTGGTTGTGGTAAAGGCATGCGAACATTTCCATAAGTACCTTTACGGCCGCAAGTTCCTGATAAGGACAGATCATGCAGCGCTAAAGTGGCTCTTGCAGTTCCGAAACCCAGAAGGACAGGTGGCAAGATGGTTAGAACGTCTTCAGGAATATGATTACGACATTGAACACAGGGCTGGAAAAGTTCACAATAATGCAGACGCTTTGTCAAGAAGACCGTGCAAGGACAACTGCACACATTGTTCTAAAATAGAAGACAAGATTGGCCATCTGCAACGAACAACTGTAGAGAGTGAGGAGTGGAAGCCAAGCGAAATCAAAACGGCCCAAGAAAACGACCCAAGTATAAAAACTGTTCTGAATTGGATGCGCCACGGACAAAGACCAGGCTGGCACGACATTAGTGCCACAAGTCCTGAAGTAAAGAGTTATTGGGGCCAATGGAATAACCTGACTCTGAAAGACAACCTGTTGTATAGCACCCTTGAAAGTGAAGATGGCACCGAATCGACGCTGCAATTAGTAGTACCTAGAAGCAAAGTGTCGGAAGTATTGCGAAAATTGCATGACGGCGCTTCCGGAGGACACTTTGGTATTACGAAAACGTTGCAAAGGGTACGTCAGCGATTCTATTGGGTCAACCGTAAAGAAGATGTCCGGCGATGGTGTCAAAAATGTGAGTTATGTGCTACTGGAAACGGACCAGTTTCCAAGAAGAAGGCACCCATGAGGCAGTATAACGTTGGTAGTCCGATAGAACGAGTTGCTATCGATATCGCAGGACCGTTTCCCGAGACAGATGGCGGAAATAAATATATCCTAGTCGCTATGGATTATTTCACAAAGTGGACTGAAGCTTACGCCATTCCAAATCAAGAGGCAGCAACAGTTGCAGAAGTGTTGGTAAAGGAGTTCTTTACACGTTTTGGTGTTCCTATAGAAATCCATTCAGATCAAGGAAGGAACTTTGAGTCGGCTTTGTTCCAAGATGTTTGTCGATTGGTAGGAGCCAATAAAACCAGAACAACACCTTTGCATCCTCAGTCAGATGGAATGGTTGAGAGAATGAATCGAACGATGGGTAAATATCTTTCAAAAGTCGTGGCAGAACATCAAAAAAATTGGGACCAGTACCTCCACCTGTTCCTTATGGCATATCGATCAGCCGTCAACGAGACCACGGGTCAGACTCCTGCCTGCCTTATGTTGGGTCGTGAACTACGCCTTCCATGTGCTCTCGAGTTTGGGCGTAAACCCCATGAAGAATATGTCGCAGGTGAAAATTATGTTGACCAACTAAAGGCGAAGATGAACGATATTCACGACTTGGCTAGAAGTCATATTCAGATTGCCAGCGATCGCATGAAAAATCAATACAACCTCCGCTCGGCCAATGAAGCTTTTGAAGCTGGAGATCTGGTATGGCTGCACAATCCACAGAGACGAAGAGGTCTTTCTCCCAAGCTACAAAGACAATGTGAAGGTCCGTATGAGGTGATCAAGAAAATAAATGACGTGATATATCGTATCAGAATGAACCACCGGAAACCGAAAGTTGTCCACATTAATCGACTCGCACGATATGCTGGATCCAACAACAACGAAGAAGTTAGAGGTATTCGAGAAGAGGAACGCAGCTTTGGGATCGAGCCAAACTTTAACGATTTTATGTCAAATTACGCCCAGCGAAAGAAAGCTCGATTTGGCGTTACTCAGGAAATTTGTCAAAATATTTTTGAGCTTCCGGTTAACGTTTCCATCGCCCATTGTGTCGCCGAAGACCTTCGCATGGGTAGAGGTATAGCTTCCGTATTCCGGAAAAAATTTGGAAGAATAGACGAGTTGATAAAGCAAAGACCACGAGTGGGTAAAGTACTGCGCTTGGAAGATAGTCAACGCTCTTTGTTCTACTTGGTTTCAAAGAAAACGTCAGAAGGCAAACCCACCTATGAAAACCACTGGTCTGCTTTAAAAAGCTTAAAGAAACTCATGGCATACTATGACATAAATAGCTTGGCGATCCCGAAGATTGGATGTGGTTTAGATGGGTTGGACTGGAAAATAGTGCGAACCATGATCGAAGTGAGTTTTAGAAACACTAGCGTTCGAATTACAGTATGCTGCTTCAACCCACAGGGGACGACCCTCCGCAAAACTGTGGACTGTTACTTTTTCAAGAAAGGGGTTTGTCGAGCAGGCTCTGACTGCAGATTCCGACACGAGGCATTAAAAAGTAATACTAACGCAGTTTCTGAACGAGACGTCCAGAATTAAGAAGGGGGCAGTGTAACGGAAATGCTCCAGACATGACGTCGCCTTTGGCGCTCTGGAATTTTCTACGCGCGCGATAGTGGAATTTGTAGGAATATTCGAGAATGTACGCGGATGTTCGGGACTTACATTGCTTGCGTGTATAAATGGTTGCGGACCGAACATCGCGCTAGTCTACTACCAAACGAGATCGAGCGCGAAAATCTGATATAAATTGCGAAGTGTGAGTGATATAAATAATCGATATAAATTGTACGGATTTTATAGTGTTTTAGTTCTGTTTAATAAATATTGATATAAATCGAACCCGAAATTATAATTCACGTTACAATAAGCAACACTATTCCCTATTTCCTGGACTATGAGAAGTCTGAACGAAAAAGTACGAATTGATTTGGATTCTACGCACCCAAATTAATAGGTAAGTAAAAGTGTTTTCCCGAGGAATTTTGGTGTAGTCGATTTTTGGTAAAAAAAGGAAGGTTATACACTGCCTTTCTTGAGCCCCGAAAAGAAAATTGTCTCAGATCGAACCCGGAAAAAAATGTTCTTATAGAATGTGGCCTGTAGAATCCATAATTTCAAACAGTTCCAAGATTGGGCTACTAGTTCAAAAGTTACAGCCCTTTGAATTTTTTTTTCGAAATTGGTTTCTAGTCTATAACTTTTGATTGAGAAGTCTGATCGAAAAAGTACGAATTGATTTGGATTCTACGCACCAAATTAATAAGAAAAAAGTGTTTTCCCGAGAAATTTTGGTGTAGCCGATTTTTGGTAAAAAAGGAGGGTTATACACTGCCTTTTTTGAGCCCCAAAGAGAAAATTGTCTCAGATCGACCCGGAAAAAAAATTTTCTTATAGAATGTGGCCTGTAGAATCCATAATTTCAAACAGTTCCAAGATTGGGCTACTAGTTCAAAAGTTACAGCCCATTGAATTTTTTTTCGAAATTGGTTTCTAGTCGATAACTTTTGATTGAGGTCTGATCGAAAAAGTACGAATTGATTTGGATTCTACGCACCCAAATTAATAAGAAATAGTGTTTTCCCGAGATATTTTGGTGAAGTCGATTTTTGGTAAAAAAGGAAGGTTATACACTGCCTTTTTTTGAGCCCCGAAGAAAAAATTGTCTCAGATCGACCCGGAAAAAAAGTTCTTGTAGAATGTGGCCTGTAGAGTCCATAATTTCAAACAGTTCCAAGATTGGGCTACTAGTTCAAAAGTTACAGCCCTTTGAATTTTTTTTCGAAATTGGTTTCTAGTCGATAACTTTTGATTGAGAAGTCTGATTGCTAAAAACGTAAATTAGTTGAGTTTTATTGCTTCCCTGTCACGTTGTACAATTATCTTTATAATTTATGACTTGCGCTAAACAAGTATTAAGATAATTGCAGGTCCCTTTCCCAGAATACCTCCCTCTCAATCTTAATTAATTAATGACACTTTCAAAATGGCGGATTAGATTTCCTTAATTATTAATTTGTTTGTGTTAATCCCTTCTCACTAATCAAATTAGGGTTAGGGCGATAAATCGTCCCCAAGTCTTTACGAAATAAAACGCTTTATGTTATTAAGTAAGTGGTGCTACTTTGAGTTTGCCCAACTACTAATAAAAATGAAATGCGATACAAACTCCGGACTTTGCGCCTCTACCGATTTCCAGAGGCAATGAAGAAGCAAAGCGTCGGAAATAAAGTGGCGCAGGGCCCTTGCACTGAAGTTGGCATTCTTTCAAATTCTTACTAACCATCTGTAAATAATTTAGAACCACGAAACTGTTGCAACGATGGTTCAAATACCGTGCAATCTTCTCTTGGACACCCATAATTAATATTGTTACTTAGAGCACGAAATGACTATTAAAAAAGCAGTGAATAGGTGAAAATCGTCGCGCTTGTTAACCCATTTAATTTCCGCATGGCCAACAGCAATGACACGTTTTACTGTGGACAAATTGATACGAATGTTCCATATTGCATGTACATTTGTACAAGTGAGAAAGGTTTAGTTTATGAATCTCTAGTGAGGTACCTACCTACAGTTTTATGTTTTGGTTGGAGTTGTGCTATGAGTTTTTTGACGCGGTGGCAGAAAGGTTTTGGTAATGAAGAGATACATCCAACTGCGGTTTGTTCTAATTCTAGTCATTATCCTAATCATAATTTTCGCCGTTCAAGATTACCACACGCTACGAAAGAATGATCGCAAGTACATCCTCTACTGGACCCCATTTTGGTGGCACGAAGACTTTGAAGTTGGATTTGGAGATGAGCCCTTCGAAAATTGCGAGTATACAAATTGTTTTGCAACGAACAACAGGAATTTTATGGAAATTAGCGAATTCGACGCTGTAATATTCCACGCGTCGATTTACGATCCAAAGATCCATGGTAAACCACCAAGAAGAACGGCAAACCAGGCTTACATCTTCTGCAACATGGAAGCACCGGTTTATATCGCGCCCAATTTCTCACAATATGACTCGTTCTACAATTGGACGATGACTTACCGGTTTGACTCCGACATTGTGTCACGCCATGGTCAATTCGTCGAAGAGGAATCCAACTACACCTTGCCCTCGGTAGCAGTGATCCAGAAGAAAGCTAAACTAATCGCGTGGTTCGTCAGCCATTGCAAAACGTCAAGTCAGCGGGAAGTTTTAGTGGCAGAACTCCAACGGTTCCTACCCGTCGACGTTTACGGACTTTGTGGCCCGCTGGCGTGCGAAAAGACCCAACGCAACGAGCTCTCCTCGCCGAAGTGCTACGACATGCTCGAAGAAGACTACAAGTTCTACCTATCGTTCGAGAACTCACTGTGCAAAGACTACTCGACCGAAAAACTGTACAACGCCCTCCGGAAGAACGTGGTGCCAATAGTTTACGGCGCCGGAGACTACAACATGAGCGCTCCCCCTGGCTCGGTGATCAACGTGGCCGATTTTGAAACTGTGGAACAGCTCGCCGATCACTTGTGGTACTTGCACGAAAACGCAACGGCGTATCTCGAGTATTTCCATTGGAAGAAGAGGTATAAAATTGCGAAGGTGCAAAAGGCCTGCGAAATCTGTAGGAAACTAAACCTTCCTCAGAGGACGTCGATTTATCATAACTTACTGGAATGGTCTAAGGGGACGAGGGGAGAAATTTGTAAAATAGGTTCTGATTTGCCCAATATTTTGAGAAATGCGCTGTAGTTTTGAATAGTTTTTTTACTAAAATAACCAGTTTTACCAAATCGTCATGTGTGCTTCATATCTAGTGAGTCCCACCAAAACTTGTGTGTCTTACCTACCCTTGACGCCCTTATCCTTAAGTTCGTGAAATGAAGCAATTAATAAGATTTTTTCTTTGAAGAAAAAATAAAGGATAATAATTCTAATTTGGAGACGCAACAGGCTGTAATGAGTGCATCTGCTGCAATTTACTGAAAAATTACCTTTGTACAAATTTTGGGTTAGCAAAAAAAAGGAGCACTAGCGTAACCTCGTTTATAAGGGTTTGTTCTTGAATTTTAGGTTTAATTTGTTGGAAATTCCTTGATTAATTTTAACTTCAACGGCGCAGAAATGAATATAAATTTAACCTTTTTTCGAACAGTTTTCTTTGTCGCAATTTCACTTAACTAAGTGAATTACGCTCATGAGCTTTTAACCTTCGACACGTTAAGATGAAAATATTCCTTGGCGTAATTTTGTAATAATTCTTTCTGATATGGCACTTTTGTGGTAAACTAATGTGCGTCGCTACTACAGTTAAGGGTAAAAGAAACTAACATGCGCTTTTTCAATTGTACTTCAAAATGGGTACTTCACTTCTTCACGCAACTTTTCCACTGGGACAAAATGATACGTTTCCAGAACCACTGGATATTATTGACACTACACCGTGGTTTCAACTATTCATTTTCTCTTCTAAGCTCGGTTAGTTTGAACGCCTAATTTAATACTTAGGCTTTAAATCCGCGATATGACAAAAACTCCGTACTGATCAACGTAAAGCTCTCGTATTGACTCTCCGGATGCTAAAACAAGACTCTCTGGATTTCGGGCTAATCTCATTCCCTCTATTTGTCTTTATTTTTGCCTTTATTTTTAAGTAGGCGGGGTTTTAGCCAAGACTGCTCTACCAACACAACCCACTATATATTTACAAATATATTTACAAATAAAATTTTACCTCAATACAAATTTAAAAACTCAAGCCTGCTGATGTGTCCCTGTACATGTACATACAATATGGATCAATGGACCATATCAATTAGTCCATACTAAAATGTGTCATTGCTGATCATGCGGAAGTTCAATGGATAAACAACAACCGCGAAAGATAATTTGGGTACGGTCCTGATATAGTAAAAGCGTTGAGTGAGACTTCGTTATTCCATGGCAAAAGTAAAGCATTTATAAATAATTCAAGTATTATTGCAACAATGCATATGTAAACAACACGCTATATCTATTTCAAGGGATGCATGTATATTATCACTATACGTCTTTCATATGATATTTTCAAAGCTTCTGACATCTTTCGTGAACAAATCATACCCACATCTTACCAATAAATGCAGTTACTAAATCTATTTCACACAGATGTCGCCACTATCTTGACGATTTATTGAACACGACGTTACGAATATGAAGCCTGGAAGATAGGCAACATATCATACTCGATATTAAAAATGTCAAAACGTATGTGTGTTTTATTTTTTGTCCTCTTTTCCCTTTTCCAGCACTTCATTTCTGCTCCTCCTTGCTCTTTCCACTTCTTTGCGTTCCCATAACGCATGTCCTCTCCGCGGATTCTACATTTTCTTGCATCTACTTCTCTCTATCTGTCCCCTCATTTCCCCACCTAAACGTTGCCATTATCTTAACTTTTTTTTCTTTCCTCCCATAAGTATTTAGACGAACACGCCCTTGGTAGTCCCTTGTACCTACTTTTTCCTCGTGAACTTCAGCATCAATGTATCTTTTTGTCCGCTCCATATGTTCCCTTATATTTTTCCACTCCTTTTAACCTCAGACCTCAGCCCGTCCCTATCCATTTCTTTCATGGTACTTTTTTCTTTGTTCATCCTTTGTGCTAAGCATTGTTTTACTAATTTAATTCCTCATTCGCTCCTTTCTTCGAATCTTACCGCCCCCCGTCATTCCGTCTTCACTATTTTAGATTCTTCCTTTAATAAATAATTTCGTGTCCTTCCCAATACCCATCTATAATACCGTCTTTGATTTCTTCAAATTCATCCCATTGTTTCCACCCCCAGATCTCCGTACTTCGCACCCCTCTCACCATTGCATGAAGCATTTGTTTTCATGTTCTAAAGACCTTTCTGGGGCTCCTCTCTCCTATTCTCCACACCCCTCCTAACGCCAGAAGTTGGAACCGGAACCGAAATGAACTGGTACCGGAACCGGAACCGATTTCATTTATAAGACCCTCACTTGGAGCCGGAAGCGTTATTTAAGAAGCCGCAACCAATACCGCTACCGCTATTATTAGTGCTAAAGAACATAGGATATCATACTTTCTGGAAGTACAAGTAATATATCAACCTTCATTCCTTATCTCCGGTGATTGATTCTCTATGGATTTGATGGCCATCAAGAATTAAATCTCCTCAGAGTTGAAACTACTGCTGAAGAAAACGAAAGTAGAAAAGGACAGGCAGTTGACAGAGATGAAACGAGGGCGTAAGCTGAAAATAAGTTTAAATTAAATCTAAAACAATAGGTTTATGCAAAGAATAATGTACTTTAATTGTGTGCCTTCTTTATTTTCACTTAAAAACCGAAAAAAAACTGGACCCGGAACCGGAACCGAAAATCCCTAAAGCCACAGAACCGGAACCGTTACTGAAACCCTTACAAAATAATTGCGTATCTAAATAGTGCCGAACCGGAACTTATATTTCATATGGGTTCCAGCCCATGCTTAACGGCACTTTTTTCTTTTTCTACCTTCTCTGATTTGCGCATTTGTCCCATTAATTTGTTGATCTTTTCTATTCTATCTCCGTTCTATTCCCTTTTACCAATCTCATTAGTGTCGGGATGAATTATTATACGTGCATCTACGGGTGGTGGATAAAGGGAACGCCCATGCAGACACCTGAATAATCGTAATGTAACTTGCCCTTCGGTGTGGGAAGTGACGACTCTAAGTGATTTGTCGGGGCTGGTAGCGACGAAGATCGTCGCCGCAGACCAACCTCCCAAGTCAAGGTATTAGCGACCGTGCCGAACTGAGTGGCGCTGGGGTGCAGTGTCGATAACGGTGCCCTTTGGATACCGGGCGACCTCATTCCTTCGGGAAGGGGCTGGCAACCAAGCCCTGGGCAAGCGGCCCTGCCCGATTGGGACCGCATTTCCGCACTACTCGTGGGAATTGTATGGATGATTATTTAAACAAACATATTCCGGGCTCATCGCCCTCAAAAGATGTCAAGATCGCTGCAGCGAGGCTCATGGTGACCATAGTTCCGGTATCACACTTGGAGATGGACATCGCTGAGCCTCAGTTTGAGGTGTATTATGGATGCATTGAATGCAGTTGTCGACGGCTGCTGGGGTTCCGTTGGAATACGCAGGGTGTCGTTGTGGCCGAATGCGAGGATCAGTGGGTCTTGGACTGGTTGGGAAGGAGCCCTGGGCTGGCGCATATTTGAAAGGCGAGAGGTACCTAGGGTAATCAAGGTGATGGCTATGAGCTGTGGCCTTTGAGATTTTAGAAGCTTTGGAGACCGCGTTCAACAATGATACACGCACTGTCTAACATCCGCATCTATTTGATGTTTTCATACACTGTGTTTACCTCTATTACTGTATAGTATAGGGTAAATCAAATTTGCAGTGCCGGACTTGAGACCCCCTAACAGAGTGGTTTGGAGGTTTTTGAGAATGTGGCCTCTGGATTAATTGCAAGGAAGATCTTGGTAGGTAATGAAACCTTTAAAGCATATGTGCAAAATGATAACAAGGGACTTCTGGGGTTTCAATATCTATGCAAACTTCTGGCTTCAAAACCCACATTTTAAGCTTCGGTAATTATAGTGGCAATTAGGCTTTAAATTTCGATGCAATTTTGACAACGTGGCAACACCGCTTTCTTCATACCTAAATTTGTATGAACAATGTCCCGTATAAATGATGCACTTTGTTTACATAACCTATTTTAATAAAATTCAAATTTTCCACAAAAATGCAAGAAGACTGGAGCGTTGAATGTTCGGACGACGAAATTCGCGATAAACCAAATTGGGAACCATCACCGGAGGAGATAGATCGCCTTTACACCATGATGGATAAAGGTGAGGTCCCCGAAATCTCATGGAAGTGTCCCGGCTATCGGTCGCCTTCGCCGGAAGTAACAGACAAGCTGGAAGAAAATGAGAACTCCGCCCCGTAAGTTTTGGTGGTTTGCAACCGTTTATAAAAGGTGTTCGTTCCAGACTCGAGGATAAATCGGATTTCGACTTCATGGACGAGGCATCTTCGCCTACATTAAAAATGAGGAAAGATGGCGAGGACGCACTCAAAGGCAGCGCCAAGAGGAAGGTCACCTCTTTAGATGGCGTCATTAGCAACATGAGGAGGCACAATCTACTACCGACACAACCAAAAGGAAGCTAGCGTTTATTTAAATGAATGCATTTATAATACTTGTATCTATCTTTGTGGTGCCGGTTTCGGCTTCGGCATTTTGGCGAGTAAACCTTGAATCTCCTTCTTCTCGTCGTATTGCTTCCACAATTCGTATAGATTAATTATATACCTACATATTTCTTGAATTTTTTCTATATCGACATTCAACTCTGCAAACCACACTTTGTGGTCTTTCTGGAGGATGACGCAAGCAAACTGGATGCAGCCGATTGCAATTTGATAAGGGGGATACAGCAGGCAAACGTCGGTTCGAAGTGAATCGTTCACTATACGCCATGCTAAAGTAAATAGTTGGTCCTCGTTTCCCAAATCTTGTACTAGCTGAAGCAGTGGCCGATAAGGCTGATATACTATTAGACAACAGTCCAAATTCTCTAATAAGTAAAATTCGCACTCTAAAATGTGGTTGGTACGATAGGGAAATTCCTGGGTATAAGCGTAACTGAACTTATTCTTAACTGCAAAGGATAGTACAAACACAATGTTCTCAAACCGTGCGAGATTACTTACTAACTTGCTGGCAAGTTGTTAGCAGTCTTGAATTAGAAATCACACCGAACTCCTCCACCTTAGACGCTAAAAAGATACACGTCGGCGCCAGTAAAAGAGGATCAATACACTTCAAAGAGTTCCTCGCATAAAATCGTTTAAAATAAACGGTCGCGGTCGCTATAACCTGCTGACGTAGTTTTAGTTGTTCGCCCAAAGTTTGAATCACTGAAATCAGTTTGGCTTAACGCGGCGAATGCCGAATAAAGGTCACTTACCGCTAGCGAAGAAAATAAATATCTTTTGATATTCGTCTTCGGTGAGTATGGATAAATCGTGCTGTCTTTCGCGGATTAAATCCTGTTTATCTAAGAGCCATTGCTGACTGAAAATTAAGGTTCAGTTTGTTAGTTCGATGTAGTTTTAAACTTACTGATGGGAACTTTGCCAGAAATTACCGGCCATTATTTTTGCCTATTTAACGGAATAATGCATAACCTCAATTTCTTGATTTGACATACCATAGAGTAAATACTGAATGACGTACAGGGCGAAGAAAATTTTTTGGTATTAAAATTCTAAAGACTACAATCCTGTTTTAGAGGGTTCTTAAAACTCTTAAAAGTTTGTAAAGACCCTTTGAGGCGCTTAAAGAAAGGGCAGAAACTTCGGTTACTCATTAAGCTTATGTAGCCTTAAGAGATCTTAGCTCTTGAAAACTGTTTGTGTCTCTTAAAAAAGTTTAAAGACCTATTCAAGTCTTTGGAAATGGTTGAGGGCTCACATAAAATTCAAATAACTCTACACAGCAAGTCTTTAAAGCACACTTAAAGCGTGTCAAAGATCCCCAAGATCTCCCAAATATTCTAAGCATCTAATTAAGGCTTAGGAAGACCTGTGGAACATCATGGCACACTCTGTAAAGGCTTTCGAAAGCTTAGAGACAGCAATGCAGAAGCAAAAGGTAGTAGGCAAAACCTCATGGCTCTTGCAAACTCTTAATAGGACCCATAAATGCCCATTAAAGTGGCGTAAGAACCCTTTAAGTTTCGAATCCAAAACCCCAAAATTGTTATAAAATAAACTTATATTCAAGGTTCCAAAAGTATCGTAAAGATCTTCAAAAGCATTTGTGGGGTCCTGAACACACTCAATGATTAAAATGTTCGTGTTCGTGTTCTTGGGAGCTTTTGAGACGCGTATACTATCCTTACAGTGGCCCATTAAACTCACAAGGACTTTAAAAGCTACTGCAATTTTTTACGCTTTTTAAAGACTTTTGCTTCTGTTAAAAACCCTTAAAGGCACTTAAAGATTTGGAACGACCACTAAGGGACAATTTAAGAAAAAAGGCAGAGGCCTATGGAATATTTCTGGAATTTTTTTAAGCTAGGTATTATTTGAAGACTTAAAGAATGTATAGGCGACCCATCCGTATCCTTACAAACTCCTAAAAAGAACAATAAAAACCCATTAACGTGTCGTAAGAGCACTTTTAATTTTGGAATAGAAACCTTTTTAAAACCAAGCATATTAAAGCTGTTAAAGACTACGAAGTAAAGGCTCTAAAAGCATATTGTAGACCTTTCGGGGGTCCTGAAGGCACTCAAAGGTTAATAAACTAGGCCCGACTCTTGTATTCTTAAACCTTTTTGAAGGCTTTTAAGGCTCATCAGTATCCTTAGCGCTGCTTAAAACTCTTAAGGCTCCCAAAAGAATTTAAAGACTCGACTTTTACAGAGAGCATAAGATTTTAGAGACTTCTTTTTTATACAATTCTTGGATGCGCTTGGAAATTGATTGCGACTATTAGAAAGCCGTATATACTTTTAAAGAATTTTTAAACTCCCTAAAACTTAACTCAAAAGGCTCAAAACCTTGGTGCTTCCTATGGGTATTAAAGATATTTTCATGAAATTTTAAAGGTCTTAAGGATCTTTACAAAGCTCTCAAGCACTAACAACATTGTAAAAGCTCTAAGCCATTCAACATTTTCGGGGTGTCTTTGACGAATGTTAGCAGACTACCTTAAAAGCCCTTGAAAACTTAAGGAGCGTAAAACCTCTGTTTTTTAACGTTTTTGAAGGCCCCTAAGGTTCATAAGTATCCTTAGCTCTCTCTTAGCTCTCCCTAGTCTTACCAGAAACCCTAAAAACCCGACTTTTGATAGAGCGAAAGAACTTCAAGTTATTGTAATTCTTTGTGGCCCTTGAATGTCCTTGAAAACTATTTGCGACAATTAATAAGCCTTAAGTAACCAACTAAAGAAGCTCAAACGCTTTTAAAAACCTTTAAAGTTTCTTGAGACTATTAAAAGTTCTTTCATGAAGTTTTAGTTAGATCTTAAGGATTCTTAAAGGCCCAATCTTGGAATTGTTTGAAATTATGGATTCCACAGGCCACATTCTATAAGAAAATGTTTTTTCCCGGTCGATCTGAGACAATTTTTTTTTTCGGGGCAAAAAAAAGGGCAGTGAACCTTCCTTTTTTATCAAAAATCGACTACACCAAAATTTCTCGGGAAAATACTTTTTCGTATTAATTTTGGTGCGTACGAGTAGAATCCAAAACAATTCGTACTTTTTCGATTAGACTTGTCAATCAAAAGTTACAGACCAGAAACCAATTTCGAAAGAAAATTCAAAAGGCTGTAACTTTTGAACTAGTAGCCCAATCTTGGAACTGTTTGGAATTATGGATTCTACAGGCCCCATTCTATAAGAAAATGTTTTTTCCCGGTCGATCTGAGACAATTTTTTTTTCGGGGCAAAAAAAAGGCAGTGTATAACCTTCCTATTTTATTAAAAATCGACTACACCAAAATTTCTCGGGAAAACACTTTTTCGTATTAATTTTGGTGCGTAGAATCCAAAACAATTCGTACTTTTTCGATTATACTTCTCAATCAAAGGTTATAGACTAGAAACCAATTTCGAAAAAAAATTCAAAAGGCTGTAACTTTTGAACTAGGAGCCCAATCTTGGAACTGTTTGAAATTCTGGATTCTACAGGCCACATTCTGTAAGAAAATGTTTTTTTCCCGGTCGATCTGAGACAATTTTTCTTGCGGGGCAAAAAAAAGGCAGTGTGTAACCTTCCTTTTTTACCAAAAATCAACTGTAATTTGATTTAAGCCCTTAATCAATTCTATCCCTTCTGTATTTGTCACGTTATCTTTTGATTTTCTTTCTTGTATTCCATTTTCCTATTTCCGCATCGTTTTTTCAGTTTTTATCGTATTTGATACACCCGTTAATACTCCTCCTTTGGCTCTTCCTTTCTTGCTTTCGCTTTCTGGCGTATTGATATTCCCATTCAAAACCTTTCGGTAGTTTTTTCTCCCAATTCTCCCAATATTTTTCTTCTACTTATACTTCTTTCATGCCGATTACATCATAGGTTTTCACGTAATCCCACAATTCTAAATCCTTGTTGCTGATTCCCGCCACGTTCCTGAATCCAATTTTGATGTTTCCTTTTTCATCATGTTTTCTTTAATTTTTCGTCCTTTTTTTTTGTTTGTTTTGTTGTCACCTGTTGTTCCTTTGTTAATTATTTGGTGTGATCCCCCCCCCCCCCCCCTTACGATTGGGTATGCTTGTTTAGTTTTTTGTAGTTAAATTACCATCTCTTTTGTCCCATTTGCACCATGTATCATTTATCATGAGCTTCATATATTCCATTTTTGTGTATTGCCTTTTTTTCTTTTTCTTCCCATCCTTTCTCTGATCTTCTTTTGCAATCGCTTTCTGTAAACGTCAGTTCATTCTCGATATATACCTTTTTATCTCTTAGGGCTTGTCTGTTGCTCATGATTCCATTTTTTTCCTTCCAATTTGTACACTTCATTACAATCCCTATTTATCGTTCTCTATTTTGTATTGTACGGGCTTCTGTAGTAGAAATATTTATTTTTAATTCATTTTTTAGGAAATTTATTGCGTCGGTTTCCTTAATGTTATTTGCTCCCCCTCCTTTAATTTTTACGTTATTTTTTTTCTTCATCCTTTCCCCTTTTTCCAGTCTCCATTCTAGTTTGTCTACTCTCTCCTCTAGTTCTCGTTTTTCTTTGTTCCATTTTTCTTTCTTCCTTCTCTTTATTTTGTTTCTTCAGTTCCTGCATTAAACTCTTCTCTCATTTCCGTTATTTCTTTTCTGACGTAATTTCTCATTTCCATCATAGTCTTGTTATGGGTTATCATCATGTTTTTAATTTCCTCCATGTTTTCTCTAATGAAAGGTCTCAACGAAAGGAATTAATGTCAACCAACCTTAGCCTCCTCCTCGACTCTTTGTCGTCATCGGATATAAATAATTCCTTATATTTCAAAAACAGATTGTCGGAGGATGGTACTCACAAAGGGCGATTGGGACGTCTGGAAGAAATATATCTATTGATAATGTCAAAACTTTATGAGCGCATATCTCAAAAGAAAACATCGATAAATGCGCATGACACTATATAACGCAACCATTGACTAAGCTTTTTCGGTTGTGCACAATTTATAGTTGTTACGTAATGGGAGGGTTGCCAACTGCTAGCACTTGACGAGTACCTCGAATGGGTAGCTACCAACCTGCAAGATTACGATTCAATTAAAAGTTTCGACTTTCAGGTATTTCATTTTCAATTCGTTCGCTTCGTTGACAAGTTGCGCGAAACATTTTTCAGATTTCGAAGCTTCGGCTTCGCTATGACATCTTCATTTGTTGAAATGAGTGTCGTTTGCATTTTTGGTACTTTCTTCGCAAAAAAATAAAATCCCGACAGACCCGAAACCGTACATTTTCAATTAAAACAATTAAATTGAACAATCGCCTAATACTATATAATTAGCAATTCGCTATTGTTTTCCAATTGAACGCTTCGTTGATTATTTCAATTTTCTCATTAAGCTTGTCGATTGTGTGCCATTCGAAATCGATTCTATTGGGCATTCATCTAGAAACGTGTAAGCAATATTTACAAATTCGTAATTGTCGCATATCTGGTCGCAATTAGAAAAGTTAAATTAGTTTAGTCGTTGTTCCCTGCTGAACGTTCAAGTTTGCTTTAATGCCAGACGTGAATCTCACTAATGAGGTATTTGACACGTATTATTATAATTAAAGCCAATAAAGTTTAATTATACAAGGTGGTCTAGACTTTGAGTAACAACTGAAATAAATACTGGGCACGAATAGAAAAATCTGACACGAAAACTCTATCTGGGTCGCGAAAAGGATTCGAATAAACACACAATTAATTGATGACAACGACAAAAATTTAATCCGAAACACATGAAACAAAACAAAATCTCTGATAGAAAGAAAAGCTTGTTTCGACATATTACCCCACACACAGGTGGTTTTTTTAAAACTCAATCTTGAGTAATTTTTGTAATCGGTAGAAATTTTTAAGTTTTAATGAAAGAAAAACCTTTCAGAAAGGTTTTACTACGCGGACAACTGCTTTGTTTTGGTACTCACTCTCGAACTAACTTTTTTAGGATCTGTCGGTGAGGTAGCTGCGTATAAT